CACTCCCTGTTTCCTTGGCTTCTCTCTTCCCACCCCACTGCCCCCCTGCCCTCGGCAGAAAAGCTTAAGTCGGGTGGGGGGGGGACCATGGGGAGAAAGAGAGCGAGCAGGCTGTCCAGAGCACAACCTTTCAAATTCACAATCACTTGGGATTCTTTTACTGAAAGAGACTGCTTTTTAACAACGTGTACCGGTGTTTCCCTCTGGTTCCCGCCTATGGTGGGATACGGAAGGCAAGCGACGGGACCTAATTTCTCAAAATGTGATGCGTGGGACCATCTAACGGCTTGCAAGCGAGGAGTCCTGCAGACGCCAGCCCTGCTCGCTCTCGCTGATGCACATGTGAGGGGAGGCAAACCCGGCAGATCAAAGCCATGCCAGGTAGCACAGCCCTGGCAGATAAAATCTGAGGTCCCCACCATCACAGCATTGAGATTTTCCACTAAAAATATTTACTGAATTTTAAGAAAATCTGCTTAATGCATTGAAGGGAACAGGATGAGGTTTGGTACCGAACTGTTGAGAAAAGCTGAACAAATATTTACTATTATCCACCAGGCATCTCCACCACTGGTATGTTTTTCAGCCTCTGCGGTGTCTAAGGGTGGTCAAAGGCCATGGAAGCGAGCTGGGTGATGAGCCCCATGGATGTGGTGGGGTCAACCCACCATTACGAGAGAGAGGAGAAAAAGGGGAAGAAAAGTAGCCACACTTTTCGGGTCCTCAAAAGACAAATACTACTGGGAGTGAGAAATATGATTTTCGAGAAGTTTCAACAAAAGGCTCCTTTAGTTCTGAGCAAAAACAGGGAGGGGAGTTCGAGACTTAAGAATGAATTTACAAATCCCAAATCAGTCTTTACAACAAAAACGATATGGACTGCAGGTCTCACAGTTCTGCTTTTTCAAAAATCACATTTGTTCTTTGATTTTTGCCTTTGACACGCTGCTGGAGCAGCCCTGCGTGCTGACCCGAACCGTCCCCATCCCAGGGGCTCAGGGCACCCTCGGGGGACAGGGAGACGCTCGTAGCTACACAGCAGCCAAATGGGGGGAGCCCTGGGTCTGCGCCACAGGACCACGGTGGCCCAGCCTTTGTTCCTCCCTATAGAGGAGCTCTGAGGCTGCCAAAGCGCTACCCCTGCACAAAGGCGTCGTACCCACATTTAACAAAATCACCAGAGTGTCACGTGGCGGGTCAGAAAGACGGTCAGGAGGTGTGCGTGCACGGGAGCTGCAGGGCCCACCAGGAGCTCCCTCCTATTGTGGGGGCAGCCTGGAAGGAGGCAGGAGAGCCTGTTGCAGAATAGGGGGCCCCCCGCTCTTGCTCTCTGTACGACCAGATTGCACCCCCCGCCCCACCACCCCACACATCAAACCCACGCATGTGCTGTTCTTCAGCTGACAATGGCAGAGGGAGAGAGGCGGACTGGGGTCCTCTGAATCTGAGAAACGAGGGGACGAGGGACCGTGGAAAAGCAGAGGCCACTCTGGGCACATCTTCCTAGGCTCCCTCACCTTGCTAAGGTGGAACCAAGGACTTGGGGGAGGTGTGTCAGCACGTACAAGAGGCACTCAAGATGGCTAGGGAGGGACCAGAGCCGGGCGCAGGGCGGCGGCTCCTGTCTGTTCATACCTATGCTCAGATGCAGGATGGCGGGGGGAGGTCAAGGCTCTCCGAGCCTGCACCCCACCCTGAGGTGCGCCCCAGGAGCCTGGCTGGCTGAGCTCTGATTCCTCTGCTCCAGGACCCTAAGCCACTGAACAACAGGTGACAACTGTGTCACTGAACTCCCACTCAGTCTTCCCTCCTGGGTGCAGGAGGGTGGGCGTGTGCTAAGATAGGCAAATGCTTCTATTTTCAAACTCAGCCGACTTCGCGGAGCAGAAATGTACCCCAAAGAACAGTCTGTCTCCAGGCATTTCACAAGGAAGAGGCTGAGAGGAAAAGGGCGTTTCTCCCTCTGCTGGGAGCGGGGCCGGCGGCGAGCTCGCGCTGCCAGGGCGTCACCCCCAGGCCTGACACAGACCCGGCCCCCCCCCCCAGCTGGCGGGGGCGGCGGGCAGGAAAGGAGGGCTCCACCAGGCTGGGCGCCCGGGGCTCCGCTGGAGCACCCCGACCCTGGCTGGTCAGCAAGTACCAGGATTTTCCAGGCTTCTTGAGATGGCGGTGAACTGCTCTTGTCCCGTTCTAAAACTTCGCATGTACCCACCAAATTATCTCTTTGAAATCATCGTGGGAACGGAATTAAAGTAGTTAAGTTCAAGGCTGAGGTGCTAACCGCACGGCTCAACTGGAGAAGCCATTTTAAAAGTGGATCTTGAGCAACAAACAAGGGGTTGGGACCCACACGGGCAACGATGGCCACCCCGGTCTCACCCTCAGCCTGGCCCTTCAGAGCACAGGGAGAGCCAGCGTGAACACGGGCTGGAGCCGCGGGGGAACGTGGGGCTCCCTCTGCGCCCGAGTCCCGCGGGGCGGCTCCCCCAGGACGGGCAGGCTGACCGGCCGGCGAGCGCGCTGATCTGCGGGTGGGCGGCAGCCAGCAAACCGCCCGAAGCAAGAAGCCGCAGTCACCCTGCGCGCGTCCACACACGGGTGTGGGAGGGGACTCACGTTCTAGGGGAGACAGGACTTCTTGTTTTCTGAAAATCATTTGACTCAAAGAGGACATAGATTAAGTGCTATCTCGTTTTCCTGTGTTCGTTGGAAAAATTGAGGGGAAGGGGCAGAGGGGCAAAAAAGACACCCCAGGCATGTGCACGGCTTTATTCTGGAGGTGAAAAGGTCATTAGCAGTAATAAGAGGGTAATAAATTGCGGAGAGGTTAAAGGTGACTGGCTGGTTAGCACGCTGGTGTCACCCGGGCACTGCAGGGCCCGGACCAGGGCTGCACTTGCAGGAAGTGGCAAGGGTGGGGCCGGGCGCAGGATCCCGCTATCTGTCACCGGGGTGCGGAGGCCCAATCACTGACACCCACACAGCCATTTCCTGCCCTTAAAAAAAAATCTGTTTCTCCCTTTGCAAATCAACAACTTTTACCTAGAAACTCTTTAGCGGTGAGTTCTGACTGATCTTGGTCTCTGATCCGTTGCAGAAAATACACCATTGTTTACCTGGGGGAGGTGTGCGAGCGCCAGCTTTAACTGACAGGTTTCGGAGGCTGCGAGTGGGGTCTGTTTTGCATCTGCCTGGAAGAAACCAATTCTCTCTACCCCAAACAGGCACCTGCTGGTGACCGAATACCTTGACAGACCTTTCTAGAAAAGAGCTCTGAGCACAGAGGACGCAGTGCGGACACTGGAGCTCCGGGTGTGCCCCCAGACGGGGGTTCTCGATGGTCCCTGAGGGTACACTTTCCGGCTCGGGTCAAGAGAGAACTCCATCTTTAGCACTAAAAACAGATGGCCAGCCGTGGGCTGACGCCAGAACTCATTCAACAGGGAACCTCGGTGAGACTCCCGGGGGAAGGGTCCCCCGCTGTGACTGCACACACTGACACACACGGGAGTTTATCGCATGTCAAGTAAACCTCAGTCACGTTTTCAAAAACAAAAATAGCTCCCACAGAATGTGAAAACTGCAGGCTGTCGTGTACCAGAGGTGGTACCTAAAAAACCACGCATGACTCAGACCCAAACGTGCATTTGGTCCCGGACAAGTGACCACAGCTGAGCTTCGCCAGCGAGGACCCTGGAGCCCTCTTTGAAGTTCAACTACCCATCTCTGACTTTTTCAACTGCAAAGATTTCTGCCAAACTGCAACCTCGTGGGGAAAAGGGTGCCTTGGTGACTCCCTGCATGCATATGGCTGCCTCAGACCCAGCCTCTGTCTGGCCCTGGGAAAGGAGCTTGTGGAAGGAGGACCCGTGTCCTGGTCCCGGTACCCTAGGGACGGGATGGGGACACATGTCACACACATCACATCACGAGTAATCACTGTGCGAGGCACCTTGCCCACACGCCCACCTGCTAGGCCAGAGTTGGTCCCGTGTTCAGTCAGGGAAACCGAGCTTGGTGAGGTTGAGACACTTGCCTAGAGCCCCTCAAGGAGATGGTGACAGAGCCAGAACATAAACCCAGGCCCTGGCTCCAATGTCCAGAAACGTGGACTAAGCCTAATCAAGCAACCTTCCTGGATTCTAGTGGCCTCACATATCGGAGCCACCTCCAGGCGCAGAGACCTGGCACGGTTCTAGAGACCACGGAAAAAAGAAACCCATTACCACCAGGCAGTCTGGACCACCTACGTGGGATCTCTACGGGATCAGGGCTCCATCACCAGAGTTGTGGGGGGCCCCCGGCAGCAGGGTACCCACTTTGCCTTGTCCCCACTCGGCCACGCTGTGGCCGCAGTTCCCTCTGCATGCCGGGCAGGCCCTTGAGTGTGATCACATGGCATTCCCAGGTGGTGACGGCCATGGGGCCTCTCCACACGGGAAAAGGCCAGGTTAAGTGAGAAGAGCAGAGAAGCACAGTCTATTCCCTCACTTTCAAACTGTTGGACTTTGTTTTCTTAAAAAACAAAAGCAACAAAACTTGGACATCCATGCCTGGCTGCTTCCTATCTTAAGCAGCCAAGAGAATAAGAGTTGTGCCTTGTGTTTTCATAAAGACCGCCTTGAGCAGGACTTCCTCCAGCGCTCATCTGCTGACCTGTCCTGCTAATAACCAGCTAACTCCCGGGCTGCTCTGGGGCCCAAGGAGTCTCGCTCTGTGCAGCGTGGATGCGGAGGGGGAGGGCAGTGTGCACAGCTGGGCCTTGATTCCCTCCAGCAGAGCGGCAGCGTGGGGCAGACACGGTCCTTTGCATCCCCCAAAGAACCGAATGCTTCCCCCCAGATGCAACTCATTAAAAGGTCAACTGCTGGGTCGGACATCACGCATGGGGTACATCTGCATGGCCAGCGTTTCCACGTTGTTAGAGGTTAGTACGAAATCACAGCAGAGCCACCACCGGAAGCTGCTTAAACGATAATAGCCACACGGTCTGTACCTACCACCCAGCAGTGTGTACAGCGCAGAGTTTTTCTGATCAGCCATTGCTTCTAGGTAAGAGAATCAGATGAGAGACATTTAGACCTCAACGCAGGTGTGTCATGGCCGCTTACAGATGACACGCTGCACATGCACCCACCGTCCTCCAGAACCCGTGAGAACTCTGAACCTCAGGGTTTGATTCTCATTACAGCTGTAGATGGGGGTGGAGAGGTCCAGGGCTGGCCCTGCTGCCTTTGCTGTGTGACAGTGGGTGGCCCACCCGGCCTTTCTCACTTCCCTTTCCCCTTCTGAGAAGAGAGCATCACGGTGCCTGTCCTATCTTGTGGCTCTTACTAGGACCTGGCTAGGTAATCCTACGGGTCCATGGATGTGACGAGGAGAGTTGAGGCACCTGGCACCTCAGCGGCCATGGCAGAGTAAGGGTGCAGTGGCCCAAAGCCAAGAGCAAGAGCAGCCTGAGACTGCCCAGGGTACAGGCCCAAGCCTCCCCAAACGGGGATGGCTTCTCTGCTTTGTAAGTCTGTGATACGCTGAAAGCAGCAGCCAAGATTGGGCAGGGAGGCTTGCGGAGGGCAATACAAGGGAGAGGGGACAGCGAAGGGCAAATTCAGAAGTAGACCCGGCACTGGTTCAAGGAAGGGGAGGAGGCTAAAATAAGAGTTTCCAAGAAACCCTGAGCATGACGTTCTGCACCTACTAGCCGGAGCTGTGTGCCTCCTTGAAGTCTGACAATTACTGCCTCGCTCCGCCTGTGTGCATGCGTGTGCGTGTACCTTCACACGGGAACGTGTGGACACGTGCACTGTGCCTAGGTGCATGCAAGCGTTATGAGAACGTGTACCTGCGAGGGAGCATGGAAAGGCGTGCATATGTGCGTACACGCATCTGCACGTGTGAGCAGTGCATGAACACGTGTACTCACACACGTATGCACATGAGCATGAGCCCATGCCACATACGTACGTGTGTATGCAGGCGCACGCATGCATGCTTTGGCCCCCATCTTTCAGGCAGAGTGTGGAGGCCTGATGCCCTTCCATTAGGAGACTGCCAGGGGTGTCCCCTTAGAGCCGCCAAAGTGGGCACTGAGGGCAGGGCTCCCATCCTCCTGAAAGAAAGCCCTGGCTGGCCCAGGTGACAGGACAGGGCAGGCAGCCTCTCCACTAAGAGGAGGACTTCGACAGGTGGACCTCGTGTTGGATCACCGCAGGGCCTACAACCCATGACCACCTGTAACTAGAGAGTTCCATGGGCCACCAAGTGGAGGCCCAGGCCAACTGAAGGGCAGAAGCTAGCTCAGGCAGGACCAAGGTTTCAAGAGAGCATGTGGGTCTCCTGTGGCCACCCCTAGTCTTGAGACAGCATAGGTGAGACTGTCTGGAGCCGGGGCACCAAGAAAACAGTGAGCAGGGGTGGATAAAGGGGCTGGGAAATTGCGGTGAATCCCACTGCCACTTGAAGCAACAGCTTTCTCCTTTTGAGTCTGGCAACCCGGCCTGTCGGCCTATGGCCATCATAGAAGAGAGAGCCCCCGCACAAGCTCAAAGTCCTCAGCATCCTCAGGGGGACACCTGGGCCCTCTCCTGAGAGTAGGGCCCCAGGGACAAGATCAAGAGAGATTGGTAGCACCAGCCAGAGCCAGGAGAGGTGAGGTCTGCAGGAAGCCCCTTGCTTGGAGCTGTCCGGAGAGATACCTGGCAGGAGCCAAGCAGAAGGGAGCCCAGAGCCATCTGCCTCCTCTTGTACCAAACACGGCCAAAGAAGACTCCCACTCCCAACCCCACTCTGAGTCCTTAACCAGTAGGGAGGCGCCAGATTGAGGGGGTGGCCTCAGCCAACTTGGGAAAGAGCTCGGGTTGGGGGAAGGCCAGAAAGGCCACAGGGTCCTGACTACACACCCCGCCAAGGGCCACGCGGCAGCTCTCACCACCACAAGGGCTGAGCCCTGGGCCTTCTAGAGACCACCCTGGAGGCCCACACTAAGCCCGGAGCCAAGGGACCCCGAGGATGGGGTGAGGGTGGGTAGGATGGGAGGCGTGCCCCAGGCACACACCATGTGAGGACCCAGGTCACTAAGCAGTAGGGAGACCCTCTTGCTCCAAGTGCGGGTCCCCCGGCATCTGCTCCACTCTGGGCTGGTGAACAGAGAAGCCCTCGGTCCCCCTCCCCGCGCCATCCTTTGACGGTGGGCGGGCGGCTGCGAGAGAAGAAAGCGTACTGACCGCTGGGCGGTTTAGGCCGTGGAGGAGCAGGTTTCTTCGGAGGCAGAGCGGGAGTGTCCTGTTTACTTTTAAAGGGGTCATCTGAGAATCCTGCCCCTCCAAAGGAGGAGGTGAAAGGACCAGAAGTTGGGGGCTGTAAAAGAGGACACGAAAGAGAGGCAAAAATAATCATTAAAATGGAGGCAACGGATGTCCATTCAGCCAATGCTCAAGTACCGAGAGCCTCAGTGAGGCCCCCAACCCTCTGGGTTCCGCGGCACGGCCCCCACGGGGACCCGGGTCTCTCACAAGACACCTGCTTTCCTCCACCCTCAACAGCCAGGGTCCTCTGGCCTGTGAGGGGCAAGCCAGCAAACACAGAGCAGGCGAGAGCCGCCCTGCGCCTCGACAGGCTTATGTCACGCGAGGGGTGTCCCCTGCCACACACGCCGTTCCACCCAGGCAGGGATATCAAGTCTTTCCTGACCCCAGGGTCCCCTGGGCCTCCTTGCGTCAGAGATGGGCCCCACCCTCACCCTCACGCTATCTGCAGACCCCTCTGTGTGCCACCTCTGGGCTGAGCACTGGCCTGCGTGGCTGCTGCCTCTGGGCAGTGACAGGCAGCTCTGGGCACTGGGTGAGAACGGCCGCAGACCACCTCCTCGCCCTGACGTGGCCCATGGGAGCTGCTGCCTACACAGTGACTCAGGCTGGAGCCCACCCCCACTCCTGTTGGCACAGCCTTGGCTGCCTCCGTCAGGCTCCTCCAGCCCGGACCTTCCACCCCTGCTCCCACCTGACCCCATCTCAAGTGCAAATGGGACCATGTGATCCCAGCGAGAGAGATGCACAGGCGGGTGTGTGGGTAGAGGACAGGTTGGTACATAGCACTCAACGGCCCCAGCGCCCACCACTAACCTCCGGAGCACTCTTCAAGGCACACGGGGCCTTCATTACAGCCCCCCACTATCCAATTCTTCCACCTCATCTCTACGCTGCCCCACCCCCTTGATAATTCCCCAGTCCCCGGAACCCCTTGCACCCCAGTCTCCAGGGCACAGGGTCTCCAGCTGGGGAGCTCAGTCCACCCCATCGACCCCAAGCCCCTCTTTTCCTCAGAGACTAACCAAACCAGATCTCACTGCCGCCCCTAGAGCTCTCTCTGACACCCCTTCCTACCAACTGTGCCCGCTTGACATCGGTGGGACTCCGTAGGACACACGTCACCATGGATAAGCACGTGCCCCGCACCTGGCCGTGTCTGCAGCGAGTGGGTGCAGGTGATGGGACAGCACATCTGCTGGCTGGGCCCGTGGTGGGCTGTGACTTGTCTCCGTGGGCGTCCCCTACCCTGAATGCCAGCACAGTGCTGGGCACGACAAACCCCACTGGCAGACAGATGAGCCACAGATGGGCCAGCTCAGGTCCCCCCTCCTCTGGGATCTGGCCACAGGGACAAGGATGTGGCAACCCCTGCCTCGGGTATAGCCATGGACACTAGTCTCAGGTGGGAAAGAGGTGGCCAGCCCACAGTGAGAGGGAGGGGGCCTGGAGAGGCTGCTGGGCATCCCACTAGGCACCCTGGTTCCCCTCTACCAGCTCCCAGGACCTCTAGGGTAGGATGCTGGCTCTGCACTGACGACCTCACCTCACTTCCCAACAACCCCTTCCATTTTACACACAGGGAAACTGAGGCACAGAGAGGAGATGCAGCCTGCAGTCATACGGCACCTCAGTGGTGAAGTCAGGGTAGGAACCCACATTGTCTGCCTCCGGGGCCAGGGCTCCTGGGCCCTGCCCTCCGCAGCTGGCAGCCCACCCCTCGAAGTAGGTCTGGGGCCTTGTTCCAGGCAGAGCAGGCCAAGGGGTCAGCGGGCCAGAGAAAGCCCCGAGAACGACGGGGGTCAAATGAGCAAGACTCATTTCCTTGCCAAGCCCATGCTGGCCCCCCAGGAAGCTCTGAGCAAGAGGGGCAGCTAGGGCTGGCGGGACTGCAGGAGGGCAAGGAGGTGCCTCCCTCCACAGCTGCTGCTCCCCTCTTTGGGGCTCTGTGGACACTTGTCCTTTTAGGTACAAGATTCAGGGAGTCTCTGAAATTCCTGCAACTCCAGTTTCTGGAACCTCTGCCTGGCCAGGCTACAGAGCACAGGGATCAGGGTTAGGGCCTGGAGTCCCAGCCCCGCCGCTACGAACCGCTCCACGCCTCCGCTTCCGAATCTGTGACAGGACCGTGAGCACCGCACACCGTAGCCCTAGGGCTGCCGCAACAATGCGATCAAGTCTATGTGTAAACTGCTCTAACAGGCACCCCCACAACATGGCGCAAAGATGGCATGATTATTATCATGCCAAGGATGTGGACATGACCAGAACTCCTTTAGATGCCTGTGAAAATCTGCAGACGCCCGTCAGCTCCCAATCTGTCATTCCTGCTGCTGGCTGTTAGCCACAGACTACCCCAGAGGGAGACCGCATGGGAGCAGAGGCGAAGTGTCGAGCCACAGCTTAGCTTTAAAATGGTGGCTGAGGGTCTGCGGTTTGGGGAAGAAGAACGGGGGCGGGCGAGTGGGCAAAGGAGCTGGGAGGGCACATGGGTTCTGCTTCTGCCTCTGCCATTCACAGACCAGAACACAGGCTCACGTGATTCCCGCACAACCTGAGACAAGCAGGCAGGAATCAAAACCAATTTCTTAGTCGAGAGGAGGCGTGACCAGTAAAAAGGCCACCCCCCTGCCCCAAGGACCCCAGTCTTTGTCTCGGGGGTCGGGAACACACCAGCTCAGGGGAAGGGGTGCAGAGCGGCGCCTGGAGCCCTCTGGACACACCCCACTGAGCGTCCACCTATCCCACGCGCTGCAGCCCGGACCACGAGCCGTAAGGACTGTGGCTGACTCTCCGCCCCCCTCTTGTGTTCAAAGCCACTGAGCTGGTGGGCTCGCTCCAGTGTGACGGGGCTCCAACCATAAAGGCCACTCCCCCCGCGACCGTGAGCTGTAGCCCTTCTAACACTGCCAAGCCCGCGTCATTTCCGAATCCCACTTTTCATGACTCCAGGTTTCCCAAGAGGCCTCCTCTGGGACCCAACTCGTTCCACCTCAGGCTGCAGCTTCAGGGAAAGTGGCTATTTTTAGAAGGGTTTCAGTAAAGCCGGCAGGGGCTCTCTGGGCTGGCACAGCGCGAAGTGTGCTCAGAAAGAAAAAAAAAAAAGGGAAAGAAAGAAAAAAAACAGAAAAGCCATTATAAAAAGCAGCTCTAAGAGGAACACGTTTGGGGTTCACAGTTTAAAGAGCTGGTTTAAAGGAAATGACTCTCAACTTTGAAGAAACAGCCCTAAATGGGAATGCATAGCTTTAAACACCACTGGAGAAACGACTGGAAAGGCCCTGACAACCAGCCAAGGACTGCAGGGATAGCTTTTTTTTTTCACGGAGCAGGGGTGAAATAATTATGTTTGAGTCTTGTTTTTATTCTCAAATGCTCAGAATTTGTTCTTAAAGCAAGGTGATGGGTTGACAGAGTCTAAAAAAAAGCCTCTGCAGGTATGGGGGGACCTCCACTTCGAGTGCAAGCCTGAAGAATCTCCTGAAGGAATCTGCTGGAACCAGCTCGCTGCCTGTCAGCTTCACTCAGCACTGCCAGGCAGAGGAGGACACCTCAATTTAGGGTGGAGTTAAGAAAGGGCACCAGTGTGCATCACCTTGCCACCCCACTCAGATGGGGAAAAGCTGGCGATGTAAAAAACACACACACAAAAAAAACATAAAACCAAGAAGCCAAAAAAAAAAGCCTTCTTGCCACTTTACTTTCATTTCCTTCAGCATTTTATTTATACACATGATGTTTTTCTTGAAAAACAGAAAGGGAACCAAAGGGAAAAACAGAGACCTACGAGGTTAGGGCTCGGTGTTCCGCTGGACAAGTGGCACGACATCAGGCGCTGACAGGAGCGTGGAAACCAAACAAGGGAGCGCCGGAGACAAATTTTCCACAGCCCCGTCCAGCTCTATCCCGCCCGGGGCCTCGAACAGGAAGGGGCCACAGGCTCTGAAGTCACAAGCGCACGTGTGCGTGCAGCCTGATCGAGGGGCACGCGGACAAGGAGAGGGAAGCCGGATCAGAGGGAAAACGCGACGTTCGGTTAGGACGGGCAGGAAGACAGGCAGGGCCAGGCTCTGAACTGCCCTGCCCGGCTCCGGGGAGTCTCTGCGGCCCCAGGACACGCAGAGACGACCTGGAAGGGAGAGGGGTGGCCATTCCGCTGTCCGGAGCCCCTCCAGACTGGCCGCCCTGCACAGCCCTCCACCACCCCCGGCAGCCTCTACCAGTGCACCTCTCAACCTGGTCTCAGCCCCGGCCCCTGGTAGCTCTCCCCCACTCTCCCCTGCTCAGCCGCTGGGGCCAGCCTCCCAAAGGGAGAGGGGCGAGGGGAGTGGGCCCGCTCTCCTGGCTCGAGAGCACAATGCAGATCCCTTCCTTTGGGGACTGCTGCCACCGTGTGGCACAAGTTCCCTGATTTCAGGAGTTGATTTCCTGCCTGCTAAGCAGGGACGGAAGCGGAGGACGCACAGCTCCATGCTCGAGGAGCAGGGGCACGTGTAACAGCCACCAAGCGACAGGCAAACGTTCGAGCAGACCTCCTGCCCTGGTGCCTTCTGGCCAAGCCCAGACAGCATCCCGGCCAGCAGTGTCACGGCGTTTCCATATGGGGGAGGGAGGCTCGTTCCCTCTAGGCACCGGAACCAGGGAGGCAGCTACACCAGCACCTCTGGGCTCCCTCCCGCGACAGCCAACCGGCAAACATTCTCTCTCTGGCCAGAAGCTGGATTTGCTACCTTGACAATGTACGCTCACGGGCTTCTTTGAAAACCTGAACAGAATCTCAAAAGCTGTGAGCGCCACAATCACACACGGGTTCACCACAAGTGCTCAGTGCCCAGACAAGTGTGTGCCCATCAGGCTGAGTGAGCATGGCGCCAGCAGGCAGGACGCCCCAAGGAGCTGGCACGGCGGGGCTGCCCAGCAGGGGCTGGCAGGGGCAGGAAGCAAGTGACTCCTTGTTGCGGAGGCCCGGCTCCCACATGCTCCGGAGATTCCCTCCCCAGCTCCCTCCCCACCATCTGGCTTCTGAGCCTCCCCAACGAGGAGGTGAGATCAGGGATGGGGACTGTTTCCTGCCTGTGGCCACCCCCGCCCCATGCCGATGGTACCTGGGCTGGAGCAGGTGGATACTGCAGATCGGTGGAGTGAGTAAAGAAAGCATGACTCTGGCCACAGGCTGTGCCCCACGAGGCCCTCACCTGCCTGAGGGGCGGCCAAGAAGCAGCGGAGCACAAGGAGGTCCTGGGGACGGGGCCCAGAGGCCAACATGGGGCACGCCTAACATTGCTTTCCTTTAATACTTATAGAAGAAATACGTAATCATGCTCAAAAGCAGGGGACGCTAAAGATTATAACAAAGACCAGCAACCCTCAGATCACTGCCTCTCCCACTCACCCTGGCTGACCTCTTTGACTTCTTAGCAGTTTCTTCTGGGAATTACCTCCGTAATCATGGGCATCTACTGTTATTTCTTGACCTGTCCATTTTGGACATGATCCACTGACTTCCAGCTACATTAAAGACTTAGCTTTCTAGCCACACCTCCCCCAGCCCCTCCTCACAACAGGGCCCCAACACCACCTGGGGCTATATTCACCTAACTCTGGCCACACTGATACTGCCCACCCTGACAACTTCAGGGATGTCATCTGTCTGGAACAGCTCCCCTTCCACCCGTATCTCTGTTCACGGAACCTAGCCCTCGCTTTCCAAACCCTTCTCGGGTTGTGTCGGGCAGCTCCCACTTACATAACCGGCCCATTTTCTCTGGATGCCTCCCGGCTGCCAGCCTGGGGCCGACAGTTCCAGCCTCAGCTGCCTGCACACGAGGCCTGCCCCCCGTGACCCTCCTGAGCCCTCTGTGCCTAACACCTTCTCTGAGCCCGTGCAGCCACAGCTCCACCGCCTGAGATCTGGCAGCTAACAGACACCAGGAGGACCGGGGGAGTGACACTTATGCCTCGTGGAGGGATGCAGAGCCCTGGAGTTCCACTCCGATGAAGGGAAATGGAGCTGATCACAAGCACAGGCATCTTCTAGACCTTGCCTGCCGGCTCACGATCTCACGTGAGGACGTGTTTCAGCGTCTGACGGGTGCCGGGAAATACATACGTGGTGCTAACAATTACGCCTGGCTGCTCACGACACAACCACGACAAGAGGCACAAAGAAACTGGCGGAGGCACGCGTGCTCCGTGGGAGGGGGTTTACCTTGGACATCTGGCTGAAGTCGGCAAAGCCCTCAGCACTACTGAAGGACCCGCTTCCAAAGGGGTCTAAGGTTCCAAAGGGACCTGCAAGTAGCACCAACAGAGGCAGAGTTAGGGCATTCAAGGGACACACCTCCGGGGGCAGAGGGAGGTGCTGCCTCTCGGTGGTCACCGGCCCCCGGCGCGCGACATCTAAGGAGGCAGCATTTGCTTGCCAGGGCTGTGCGTCTGGATGCGGTCCCTCAACGCGGCCTCCCTGCCCCCAACCCGCCCTGGCTGGTGGTTGGGGCGGCTTGGCCAGAAGCCTCTCGCCATGACGGCCGCCTCAAGCAGGGCCACAGGGACGGTGCCCCATATCGGTACTTCTAGCCAGCGCTGTTCACAGTCAGCAAACGAGTGACACGTGCAGAAGCACAGCCAACTGCCCTCCTGGGTCAAGGAGGGAGGTGCAGGTCCGCAGCGACCCACCATCCATACCTTGTATGTGGGGAGGTTGTCTGCGGGTGCAGTTTTCTCCTTTGGTGGGGCAACTTGCCTGCATAACCCATACACCCACCTAAGAACCCAAACTCTATCACCAACAAGCACGAGCTGCTAGGCAAGGGCGCAGAAGCAAGTGGGGCCTGTTCCCAAAAGCAAGGGGGAATCCAAACTCTCCCCCCTCCCTTAATGCACAAGCCAAGACCCTCAGTCAAACTTGGATTCTTTTAGGAAAAAGATCTGAAGGTACAAATCAAAGATTTGTACGGAGAAATGAGTAAAGAGTAACCAGGAACACTGGTGTTATTACTGACTGAATTCCTACTGCCGATCTTCCTTTGCAGAAAGATGAGCAGCTAGGGGGAGCTGGCTTTGGCCCAAGTACCTCAGGTGAGGATCTGGGTGCCACTGATTAATGACATAAACTCTGAGGATACACAGCTTTGGAAACGGAAGCAGGAACTGGGTGGGCTCCTTCCACTGGCTGGGGGGAGAGTCAGAAGGAAAATAAGTCATCAGTCTCACCTGATCCTTTTGAGGAGACACTGGAGGATGAAAAAGGATCACTGGATTCAAAGGGGTCGAGCTGAGTGAAAGGAGAGAGGGAAGAGTAAAAAGCAGTTCATTCGTTCACCCAGCCATTCATCCAAGCACAGACTTTCCTGCCATCTGCGTACACTGAATCCGGTGCCGGCCATGAGGAGGAGAAAGTGATTCAAACTAAACTCTGGCGGAGTAAAATCCCAACAGACCAACCCCTCCTGCAGAGCATACCTATAAACTCTGGACAAAATGCAAAAAAATAAGTAAACATAAGCAACCACCTGAAGGCTCAGGAAGTGAGCCAGAGCAGGAAGACTAGACGAGAATTCCAAGTTGGCAGGAGCCAACAGCACAAAGTTGAGTCTTCTGTCTAGACAGCTATAACCTGAGGGTTTCGGGAGGCTAGACCTCAACAGAAAACTCACTATCTTTCTGGCCTGAAGACTAGAGGATGGTAGTCTGGGACAACCACAGTCATGAGAAAGGGACAGGGCCCCAGAAAGGAGAGGCAGAGAATGGGAGTCCAAAATTTCATGATAAGCTCTGCCCAAGACAAGGGCTGACCCCAGCACCATGTGCAGGAGGAGACTGAATGCAGCCTACAGCTAAGGTCACAAGTACGCAACTACAGGTGAGAGAAAGTGAGTTTGCAGTGGAGCCTCACCGAGTCAACTGCCTGCTGAAACAAAACCATCTGGGCTCTTTGGAGGCATATACCAGTATCCAGTCACCGCAACAGAGCACTCACAATACACAGCATACGTTTTGAAATCATTCAACGTAACAAGAATCAGAAAAACCGTGGCCAGTTCTCAAGGGAAAAGACAATCAATAGAACCAGTCCCAAGAGGACCCAGATGTTTTGGAATTCTTTGATGAGGATGACTTTAAAGCAGGAGTAACTGTGTTCAATGAAGTAAAGGAAAATAGACTAAAGAGGAATGGATAGGAGATCTTAGCAGAAAAATAGAAACTATACAAAGAAACAAATGGGAATTCGAAAACTGAAAAAAGTACAACATCTAGAATAAAAACTTCACTAGGTCAGCTAAACGACAGATGATCGAGAAAAAAGTAAGTAAAGCTAAAGATAGATCAGTAGAAAGTACCCAATCTACAGAAAAAAGAGAACAAAAAGAATGAAGAGAAAACAGAGTCTCAGGGACTTGTGGAGCCATTAGTAAAACCTCTAATATAAAAGTAATTGTAATCCCACAAAGAAAGGAAAGAATAGGGTAGAAAAAGAAAATGTCTAAGGAAGTAATGGCCAAAAACTTGCCAAGTTTGGTAAAAGACCTGATTTACAGATTTAAGAACCTCGGCAAACCCCAAACAACTTAAATACAAAGAAAACCACACACACATATGCTTCACAGTCAAACTGCTGAAAAGCAGAGCTAAAGAGCTAAGGCAGCCAGAGAAAAACAGCACGGTACCTATGGTGGGGGACAACCGCCTGAGAGACTCAGGACTTCTCCTCAAGGACAGGGAGGCCAGAAGGCAGTGGAATAACATCCTAAAAGTGCTGGAAGGAAAAAAACTAATACGAGATCGGCCAGAAATACCCTTCAAGAGTGACAACAAAGGGACGCCTGGGTGGCTCAGTTGGTTAAGCATCTGCCTTTGGCTCAGGTCATGATCCCGGGGTCCTGGGATTGAGCCCCGCATGAGGCTCCCTGCTTAGCGGGGAAACTGCTTCTCCCTCTGCTGCTGCTCCGCCTGCTTGTGCTCCCTCTCTCTCTCTCTCCTTCTGACAAATAAACAAACAAATAAAATCTCTATTAAAAAAAAAAGGGAATGACAACAAAGTAGACCTGTATTATAAGAAATGCCAAAGAAAGTTCTTCAGGCTTAAGGAAAAGGATCATGAGGGTAAATAAGATCTTGAGAAAGGAATGAGGACATGAGAAATGGCAAATATATGGGTAAAAACAAAGAGACCACCTTTTTCCCTTTTAACATTTCTTTTAGGGGCGCCTGGGTAGTTCACTCGGTTAAGTGTCTGCCTTCAGCTCAGGTCATGATCCCGGGGTCCTGGGACTGAGCCCCGCATCGGGCTCCCTGCTCCACGGGAAGCCTGCTTCTCCCTCTCCCACTCCCCCTGCTTGTCTTCCCTCTCTCGCTGTGTCTCTCTCTGTCAAATAAATAAATAAATCTTAAAAAAAAAGTCTCTTTTAGACACATACAATGGATTAAAGCAAGATGGTCTTAGGGAGTTTATGGCATATTTAGATATATTATATTCATATGACAGCTAGAACATAAGAGAAGACACTGCTGGCTGGGGAGGAGATGGACAAATGGACCCATATGGTTGCAAGTTCTCTACATTTTACATGAAGTGATATAATATTAATTCCAAGTAGCCTATGAAAAGTTAAGGGTGTATACGGTAATCCCTAAAGCAACCTCCAAAAATAACAGAAATAGATATAGTTAAAAGAAGCCAACAAATACTAGAAAATGGAATTCTAGAAAACATTCAAATAATCTAAAAGGTGGCAGAGAGGGAACAGAGGAACAAAACACAGGGGATAAAAAGCAAGGAAATAATAAAATGGTAGATTTAAATCTAACCGTATCAACAACTGCATTAAATGTTAATGGACTAGACACTCTATGTTGAAGGCCAAGATTTCCAGGCCGGAGAGAAAAGCAGTCCCAACTATATGCTCGCTATAAAAAACCCTTTGTGTATAAAGACCCAGGCAGACTGAAAGTAAATGGATGAAAAAAAGATATAGCGGGCAAAGAATAAGCATAAGAAGGATGGAGGAAGGCTATTTCAATATGTGATAAAACAGATCTCAAGACAGAGATATCGCCAGAGGAAAAAAGGAAGCTTTTATAATGATAAAAAGGTCACTGCATCAGGCTGATACAAGAAGCACAAATGTGTAGGCACCGGAGAGAGCTTCAAAACACATGAAGCAAAACTTGACGGAATTAACAGGGACACAGACAATTCCACAATCACAGACTTTAACATTCCTCTCTCAGCGATGGGTACAGTGGTAGAGCTACAAAACAAACAAAAACAGTAAGGACACAAACGATTGGAACTATCAGCCACACTGACATAATTGGCATTGATAGAACATGACACCCAGCAACTGCAGACCAACATTCTCATCAACTGTACATGGTATGGACACCAACACGAACCATAATATGGGTATCAATAAATTTAAAAGGACTGCAAACATACAAAATATGTTCTCTAATAACAGACTTAATTAAAAATCAGTATTATAAGATATGTAAAGGAAGGAAAGAATATCTGGAAACAAAACAATACTTTAAATAATCCATGCTTCAACAGAGAAATCACAAGGGAAACTAAGAAAATATCTCAAACTAAAGGACAATGAAGATACAACACGTGAAAATGTGTGGAATGCAGCTAAGTAGTGCTTAGGGTGAAATGTGTAGTTTTAAAATATTTATATTAAAAAAGATGGTCTAAAGTCAGTGACCTAAGGTTGAATCTTAAGATGTTAGAAATGGAAGAGCAAGTACTAACCCAAAATAAATAGGAGAAAGAAAATAATAAAAAGCAGAAATCAGTGAAATAGAAGCAAACAGGAGAGGAAATTTACAGAACCAAAAGCTGGTTCATGGACAAGCTCAACAAAATTGATCAACAGAGAGTAAGAACACAGATCACACACACAGACCAGTAGCAGAAACGAAAGGGGTATCCCGCAACAGGTCTATCAACAGAAATGTTACAAATTAATCCTTGCCTTCAAGGAGCTCTGGGTCTAGTGCGACAGACCAATAGGTCCGTGGAGAAGAGGAAACCAGGGAATCTGAGGGGCGGAGGGAGAGATGCAGCCTGGAACATGAAGGAAGGCTATACACCGCCCTCACTAGACACGAGGATTCTCTGTTCAATCACAGAGTCGCTTTTTTGTGCAGTGCACTGGGGCCTAACACCATGCAACGCACACAGTTTGCTAGATGCTAGGGATGGAGAGGGGCATGTGAATGCCTCACACACTTTCAGTGCTGCCAGGAAGATGGCAGGGCGGCCGTGTGGAGCATGTGATGCTTTCTTTCATTTCTCAGTTTTGTTGGGAGACGGGGCAGCAGTGGGGGCAGGAGGTAGAACAGAGAAGCCACCCGGTGGGCCTGAGCTGAAGTGACAGGGGCAGGGAAAGGAACAGAGAAAAGAGAGCTATTCGGGACCCAAGCCATCCTGACATGGGCTCAGTGGCCCACTGAATGTGACAACCTGAGTCACAGGACGAGCCTCACAGGGACAAGCACCGGGCACACACACAGCACCTACGCCTCCCCGGGGTCACTCACCTTTGAGGGTAAGGAAGGGTTTTTCGTGAATGGGTCTGAGGTAAACGGGTCATTCTTTGTCTGTTTCTTAAAGAAGTCGTCAGGCGCAGAGCCACGGAATGGGTCACTTTCTTTGAAAGGATCCCCTCCGAATGGATCTAGAGGGTGTTTTGGAAAGTGAATAAAAACATGCCCCTATGAATAAACAACATTATGCTTCATGGAAGAACCCAAATGTAAAAACACATAGCTGACTGACGCCATTTTATATGAAATTCTACAAAAGGGAAAAACCATAATGACAGAAAGCAGGTCAGTGGTTGCCAGGCGCCTGGGGGTTGGGGGTAGGAGGCACAAGGGAACCTTCTGGGACAATGGAGGTGTTCTCGATCTCGCACAACTGCACACATTTACCCAAACTTATCTAATTACACACTTAAAATTGGTGAATTTTGTTGTGTGTAAATTATACCACCCAACAAAGCTGATTTTAATAATAAAAACATGGATAAATCCAGAGACAGAAAGCAGACTGGTGGTTGCCAGGGGCTGGGGGAGGGGGAAAGGGGCGTGACTGCTCATGGGGATGAGGCTTCCGTTTAGGGCATGGCAATGTTCTAGAACTACACAGAGGTGGTGTCTGTACATTATGAATGTACCAAATACCACTGAATTGTCACTTTAAAATGGTGAATTTTGTGTTGTATGAATTTCACCTCAGTAAAAAAATACAGAAGTAGATAAATAGGCAGCATGACCGCACCACCATACCCATGGTGTGCTCAGTCCCCTGGAATGCGGGGTGCAGGCATGGTGAATGGACACGGGGCAAAACCGCCGTCACCAGCAGGGAACGAGACACTAGGCTTTCGTGCAGTGCAGATGGCCATGCTTCCCGGTACCGCGGCCGCCTCTGGCATGTGTAGACCGAAGCCCCACTGTGGGCAGGCGCTACACGGGGCCCCCTAATGCTACCACAGGACCAAGCTGCCGTGGGCAGGTCTGAAAAATTGCCTGGCCACTGGGAGCTCCTTTTCTAGTTGTGCTTCTCTTCACGCTGTGAGGTCGGCAAGACGGGGCACCCGTCGGGGAAGGGGAGGGTAATGTCGCTGCCAGGCTTCCTCAGAAACTAAGCTCCCCTGCTGCCCTGTCGTAGGAGGCCTGGCAGACAGGCTGCTTTTCCATTTCCTTCAACTTGAACTAGGAATGGAAAGAGTCTGAGGACGAGTCCACGAAAAAACAAAAAGTCTTTTCAACAAAGGCTTTTACCTGCTGAAGCTGTCTGTTGTTCTGCGAAGGGGTCATTCTGGAATGGGTCACCTAGGTTAGAGGAGAGAGGGACGTTTAGCTCTATGGCAGAAAAGGACTCTGGCATATCCAAGTTGAAGCGGCCACTGGCCGAGGTGGCTTTTCTTAGTTGGGGTGTTCAAGATGAAATGAGGTATTGTTGGCTGCTCAACATGGGCTGGAGGTGGGGAAAACGTGGAGTGAGCCAGAATTCACTCCTCTCTTTCTCTGCCATGCTTTACGCTTGTATCTCATCTCCCTCTCACCTCCCCCAGGTACGACAACACAGGACCCCAGGGCTGCCCCAGTCCTCAACCCACAGGCAGCCCCGGAGCAATGATGAGCTCCACACATCCAAGCTTCAGGAGCTGCCCGATTCCTCTCTTGGACCTGCGAACCTCCGATCCCACATCTGACACTGGAAAGGCACCCCCACTGCCTTCTCCCCGCCCCAGCACTTCGCTCAGGAACATACAGATACCCTTCCTGGAAGGCTTTCAGGCTTCCTACTCTGAAAAAAAACAGGGAAACCGAGGAAAACTTGTTCGTAGAAGTCTTCCTGGTTATTCTCGACTCGTGTGTGGCTCTGGGTAAATGTGTCACATGAAGACCTTAGACTTACGTGGGGATCTGTCCTTCACTGGGTAGTTTCATAATCATGACTACATCTGATTGTCTTATTGATCCCACCAGGAGAGCGAGGGAGAATTTACCACCCCTTCTGGAGGCTGGGAACCGAGGTGTGCAGAGGTTAAGGGCGGAGCCAGCTGCCCTTGAATGTGGGCACCTCACTGGGAGCTGGGAGCTTGGAGCTGGGAGCTGAGAGCGGAGCTCTTCCACCACATGCCAATGCCTCAGTTCTGTAGTGAACCGGCTGAAGCGAAACACTCAGGCAGCCCAGGAGGCTCCAAGGATTCCCTTCCCCGTCCATTCCAGAAGGTGCCTATCTTGCAACCATTCTAGTCATCAGACAGTTCTAAATGGCACAAAGTAAACAGCCCTCCAATGATGAAGTGGGCACCGGGCGAGATACCTTTGAAGGGATCAGCTCCTTTAAATGGGTCGGATTTGAAGGGGTCTTCAGCCTGGAAAGGATCCGGATGCAATTCTTGGGCATTGTTGCTAAATAACAAGGCTTTATTTTTGAAAGGATCATCCTATAATTTTGTGAAGAGACAGGACAGAAATTTTATTATTTCAAATTTAAAGCAAAGTGCAGAATTCCCTACCCAACTTGCATATTTCTCCTTCAAGCAGTGGGACCTTACAGAGAACGATTAAAAAATCATCAAAGAAATGTGGACGTTGGTTCATAGTGACGTGTCGACACTAGTTTATTCACGGTGACAAATGTTCATTCGCAGGGACAAGGTATTAATGATAGGGGAAGCTGGGTGTGGGGTATGTGGGAACTTTCTGTACTCCCTTTAAGTTTTCCTGTAAGTCCACCACTCTTGCAAACTGAAAGTTTATTTAAAAATTGAGTGGACGCAACCCAAACAAACGTCCGCTGACAGACGAACAGATATACTAGATGTAGTATGTAGAAATATAAGGAAATATTATTGACCCTTGAGGACATTATGCTGAGTGAAACAAGCCAGTCACGAAAAGACAAATGCTGTGTGACAGTGTCACTTTATATTAGGTCCCTAGAGGAGTCAGATTCAGAGACAGAAAGTAGAGCGGTGGGTACCAGGGGCTGGGGAAGCAGGACGGGGAGTGAGTGTTTAGTGGGTATGAAAATGCTCTGGAGTTTAGTTACATAGTGTGAATATACTGAGGCATGGTTCAGATGGTCAATTCTATGTTATGTGTATTTTCTCACAATTAGAAATTCTACTTAAAAAAAAAATCACTAAGTCAGAAAGCAGTGGTATTTTTGGAAATGTCAAAAAGAAAACCTAACAAGCCACTCAACAACGACAGCATGGGTCTCGTTCAAAAGTGTGGCCTCCCTCAATCATCTTTTTTTCACAGAACGTCTACCTATGTGGGCATTTTTTAAAATGCTCTTTCCACACCAAGAAACATGCAGGCTATTTACATCCTGGGAGGAAATGAGTTGCTTATGCAGTTAGAACTACTAGAGCATATACACTTCGCACTGTGCATGTTTTTTAAAAAGTGCTTATTTCTAGAAACAAACAAGCATGTTTAAACCAGAAGGAAAAAAAAAAAAAAGATTTGCTTTTGAAGAGCGCATTTTTATAGTTGAAAATGGCCCAAATGTTGGTGGGGGGGTATAATCTACACAGGAACAATGCACTTCGTTTAGAAACAGTGAGTGTATTTTGGTTAATAAAGACACACCCTCAGTGAAAACATGAAGGTTTCACCGTGATACGAAAAAGCACAACATCCTCACTGAATCTGGCAGATGTGTCGGCACCCGCGGGGCTGGCAAACATCCAATATTCCAAAGCCAAATAATTAAAGAGCTGGGGCTTCCGTAAAAATACAGACAACAGTTACAGGGCAATGACGTCAAAGGAAGATTCCTGACTAGGCTCCTAGCACTCTGGGCTGGCTGACTTTGGGAAGCAGGATGGCTCTCAGAGGCACTGGGCCAATGGGAAAACTTTCCTTACCTGGGAAAGATTATCTGCAGCCTCCAACCACAGGGCTTCCCAAGGTGGGGAAACCAAGTAGGTTCTTAGGCAAGTAAGTACAGATGTCTGCAAGCTCCGCGTCTGGCGGAAGCGTGCGGTTCGTTAAGGGCAGCATGGTGCTTAACACCTGCACAACGCACGCACCCAGCAAGTGTCTGATGGGGCTCGCTGACACAGATAAATACGAGGGAGAAGTCCTAATCTAAAGAAGCTGGGAGGCCAGGATGGAAAATCAACCTCTCACACTGTGCCATGGGGGAAGGAATGTATCTGTTCCAGAAGAATGGAGAGAGATGATGACCTGGACACGGGTGTGCATTAAGAATGACACCTCAGGCTCAGACTGGAAGCTTCTATTTAGTTTTTAATAGCACTGGTTTACAAGTTGGTGGGTTTTTTTTTTTTTCTTTTAATGTTTTCGATCACCACTTGGAAGCCTGCCAAATAAGAGGGGGCGATGGCAGAGAGGAGACTGTGATTCTAGGGGCTCTGGCTGCGAGCCCCCTGACCTGAAAGTCAGGTCTGCAATCTCTTTCTCAGGAGCAGTTATTTGCCTAAGGCAGCAATCGCTCCGTCCCCTTCAAAGGAGAAGCCTACAGAGACCCCAGGAGGATTCATGTATGTAAGGTAACCACCAGTGGTTCTGATTCTATTTCACGGATTCGGAGCAGAAAATGAGATTTCCCCTGGTGCAGAGATGCCATAAACTCCACCATCCACTGACCGCTTGTCAGTGAGAACTGAGCCAGCTGCCACTTGGGAGACCCAAGTACAGCAGACAAGCACCAGGGTGAAAGGCAGAGGTAAAATACCTCGAACACAGAGTTCAGGAACTAGTCTTAAGTTCTGCACTTGTTAAGAAATAGATGTGACAACTCTGAAAGGAGTTACTGAGGAGTTCCCTTTAGATGGGGGCTGGGCAGTGGTGTGCTGGTGAACCAGCTCTCTGAGGAAAAAAAAAAAAAAAGCCCTGATTGGCAGCTTCTGCCAGTTCCCATGGTGTAAATACTCCCACCGTGGCTGAATCCAAGTTACCAAAAGTTCTACAATCAGGTTACAAAATTCCTATTTAATAATCAGCTCTGGAGAGCCAAGAAAATATGGCTCCAGCATGCCAGTGGGGCTGGATGCAACAGACAACCCAATGATGAGTTCTTGGCGAGGCTTAAGTCCAGTATGATTTATTACCTTCTGTCTACTAGACAGGTTGGTTGGGTGCTGTCTTCAAGGGCAAGAGGCCAGTATTATCATCATCAGATGAAAAACAAGAAATAAATTTGGCTTTAAGAAGCATCAGTCTCTTGGATAAAGTAACATAGTTATGAGCTTAACACTAAAGTTAGTAACTTTAATAGAACTGTCCAGCCTTAGAAAGTTCTAGATGCACCTCTCTGGTTACACTATTCTCAGGGGACTAAACCCCTCACTTTCACCCACCTCAAAGAGAACAAAGAGCTCTGTGAAGCAGTCTCGAAATATTCAAGAGTAAACAAAAAGCCCTCTTCGAGGTATTTATTAAGAAAAGGAAACAAACCAAAAATGCTTTAAAAACTGTATTTGTACAACAAGATAAATATAGTTTTTCTTTCAGACACTGGTTGCAAGTTTCTATGTTAACATATCTGACATCGACATTCCAGGATGAGTTGACTATCATGTAAACTTTGCCCTGCTTACAAGATGAATGAAAATAAGGAAAGATTAAAAATCGGAGGGGGGGGGCGCGAGGGGAGGAGGGAAATCACTGGCCACTTGCCAACTGCCACTTTGCTGCCAACTTTTTATCCAAGGAAACCGATCTTATTCGAACCTGCAAAAGAGTTTGAGAGTGAGCTGTTCCGTGAACGAAGATGAAACAGGACAAGCCCAAAGCTGTGCAAGGGGACCAACGCCAGATGGGGAAAGTGAAAGCAGGGCCGCGAAGCTGAAATGCACACACAGAGACAGGGGACAGCCGGACAGCCAAGCGGGCAATTCTGCCTCAAGCACTTAACGACGAGTGGATGTTGTTCCATAGTCTAAATTCAGACAACGAAGCTGAATTTGGGCCCCAGGGCGGATATGGAATTCACCCGTTTACAATTCCATGACAAAAAGGAATCTGTGAATAGCAGAGGGAAGCAGGAAGGGCCAGAGACAGGAGACAGAGGAGCGCATCAACAGCATCTTCTAGGCGACTCAGGGAAGGAGGCGTAAGCTTCCCCATAAATTCCTGGGACTGAGTACTCAGCTACTGAGGAAAGAAACACATCAAGAAATGAACATGAAGAGCTAAGTCTCTAGTTGAGAGAGAGAGAAGCCGTATTATTACAGGAAGGAAAAGGAATCTGCGAAGCCAACAGGGCCAGGTGCAGAAGGAGGGCTCAGAGGATGAGTCCTGGATGAGGGGGCAGCAGTGTGGGGCGAGCAGTGAAAGGCTTCAGAAGCACAGCACAACCAAATCATCAAGACCAACCGCGTCCCACTGGCTCCCTCAGGAGCACAAAGATGCTCTCATCAGCCAGACTAGAGTGGAAACGCTGGGGTTTGGGGCCAGGAACAAGGGGACCTGACAGGAACAAGGGGACCTGACAATCTGAGGAAAAAGTAATACTGGCTGGATGTGAGCAGCCCAAGAGTCCACAGAAACCTAAGAGGCCAACAGCCCCTTGGGCCTTGATCAGGACCCCTAGGGTCATAAAGTGCCGAGGTTTTCAGTGTAACCAAAATTGCAACAGAGAGGCCAGTTCATAGGCCAAACAGCAATGCCTCGAAAGGGCTGTCACTTTTCTTGATCTTTAGCAATTCATTCGATTTTCAAGGTGCTCCTTGTGGGAACACAGACACACACGCGCGCGTGCACACACACACACACTCCCCTGGTCCCCCCAACTAGCAGGATATAAGGTTTCACAATGTGTGAGAGCTTGATTCAGTTTTGGTTACATTTGGGAAACCCTCCAAACGTGGGTGGTCGGCCCACTAAAGATGGTCTTTTATTAAACACTGGTTTACAAAGGATTCAGACCTATCCTTCGCTTTGTCCCGGAAGCAAGGCCGGAGCACAGCCATGTACGCTGGGCCGCAGGGCCTGTGGGGACATGCAGAGCGGCAGTGGACACAAGAAACACCCTGCATTCGGACAGAATCAAGGCTGGCAAGCGCTGGATCCCACAGGCAGGGCATTCTCTGATCTCAACGTGGGACCTAATCCCAGGACTGGAATATGTTTATTCGACCTTTACCATGGCTCCAAAACCGCCCCTCTCTGTCAGGGAGACCCCCTCGCTCAGGTCGGCTAAGTTGGTCAGGCTGGCGCCGTGGGCCCCGTCGAGTGCCTCGTCGTACTGCTCCAGGGTCCTGTGGGCTTCCTGGTGGCTCTCGTGCAGCTCGGAAAGCTTGCTTCGTGCCTACACAACAAAGATGGCCACTAGCACACAGGGTTTAGGGGAAAAGTGTCAGGAGAGACATTTTTTTCTCCTAATGCCCAACCCTGAGTGACAGATGGGAAACTGAATTACTCGCTTACAGAGTTTACAAGAAGCGAGACCACTTGTAAACCAGAATGAGGTCCTTCCCGCCGCCCCATGAGGCCTCTCTGTATCCCCAGCCCCTGAGGGAGGCCCGTGTTCAAACAGACGTTTGTCAATTCTGAACAAACTGAAACTGGTAAAATCCAGATTCACAATCTGTTCCAAGCGATTATCAACATTTTCCTTTATGGAGTTTTTATCACCCCGTTTGCGTTAATAAGCAGCAGTGAACTTCACTGTTATTACTAACACACACTCATGTCTTGGTTCCTATCTACCTGTACAAACTCTTACTGCTTGGAGGTAAAAGGTCTTAAGATAATACTACATCTATTCATTAAGAATGAAACAATATAGGGTATTAAACCCCTGGCACGTTTGTGATCAACTTTTGTCTGTAACCTGGCAAAAAGAGCGAGAGGTGGAGCCAGTCAGGAAAGGAAGCACGACTAGCCATTTTGACATTGCCAAGGGAGAGCATCACCCCCACTCCGTAGATGGGACACACAGGGGCCATTATGTACAGGGGAGGAGAGGAGCCCTCCCTCTGCTGGTGAGCCGCCACTGCAGGCCTCAGGGCCCTCACACAGGCGTGGGAAAAGGACGGGGTGCCCAGACAGCTTGAAGAACTTGAAGAAGCATGGGGTGATGCTGGTCATAGGGTGGGGCCTCCTCCATGTGTCAGTCCGCAAACTGCACGGGGATGGAGAGGTGCTGGAACCAGTCTCAGACTCTGTCCCTCTCGCTTGTCCAAGAACCACGCTGGTGAGGGTATTTCTATGCCCAAGACCCTCTCCACAGGAGCTCTTCAAGTCCTCACACAGACCCTGCCCATTCCCCCAAAATGGCATGCGCTCAGGTGGGGAAGTGGAAGGCAAAGCAAACTGCCACCGGGCCAAAGCACAATGCCCACACACTGGAGGGCTCTGGGAGCTCACCCTCCAGGCCAGGGTGGCAGCCTCTCAGAAGAGAGCCTAACGTAAATGAGGTGGGTGACAGCAAAGGAAACAAGCGGCCTTGGTGCAGGTGCAGACCAACACAGGCTGGTCACATACAGCACTGTGACCAGTCACCGCAGCTACTCCACGTGCCAGAAGACCCCAGAAGGCCCCGCCACCGCCAGCAGAGGCGGGGGCCCATCCTCAGCAAGGTACCTGGTTGATTTCGTCTTGCGTCGATTTCAGGGACTTGATGATGGTTTCCAGTTGAACTTTCCCAGCCTGAATGCTCTGCTCCAGCTGGGTTTCTTCCTGCTGCAATCGGTTCAGCTCCGACTTGGCCCGGTTCAGGTCATCTTCCTGGGACTTGAGATCAGATTCCTGAGACTGGATTTGGGTCTTCAATGAGGAAATCTGAAATGAGATGAAATATGATTGAGGGAGAATTCTTTTTTTTTTTTTTTTAAGATTCTACTTGTTTGAGAGCGAGAGCATCTACGCAAGTGGCAGGAGGAAGAGAGAGAGAGGGACAAGCAGACTCCACGCTGAGTGCAGAGCCCGATGTGGGGCTTGATGTCACAACCTGAGCCTAAACCAAGAGCTGGACACTCAACCGACTGAGCCACCCAGGCACCCCAAGGTAGAATTCTTAATTCACGTTGTTGGAAGGAGCTAGTCCAGTGAGGCAGACACCAGCCCGATGGCCGGACGCCTGGCCTCCTTCCAGGGCCCTCTCTCCACTTGCATGACAGACAGAAACAACAAGGCAGACATGCTCACGCCCATGTAACTGGCAGAAAGTCAATTTGGGATAAGGAAGAATGAGACCTGGGATAAGCATAGGCAATCTGTCCCCCAGGGGCTAAAGATCCCCGAATGAGGCCGCAGAGGAGGACACAAGGCTTTACAGTCTGCTGAGGCTGCAGCCCCTCTGGTTTGTAATGAGCAGTGAAGACAGCAGAGCGGGAGAGGGGCGTACTGGCCCCCCCGTGCGGTGAGGTACGGGCCAGGGTGAGGTGTCCACACACACAGGTTAGCAGGGACCAAAGGCCGTTCACCGTATGGCTTGGTGGATGAGACTGAAGTCAGGCCACAAATGCTTGGTCGCTTTTTCAAGTGGTATGTCTCTATTAATCCAGGAGGATGTCTCAGCCCTGTGCTTCAAGGGCATTGTGAGTTCAAAGAAGCCTGCAGGAAGCCCCCCTGCAGTGCTGGGTGTGAGACTCACCATCTGAGTCTCGTCCTGGCACTTCTGCCTCACGTCGCTCAGCATGTCTCGGAGCTTGGCCTTCTGCTGATCCATTTCGTCAAGGCGGTCTTGGGCGTCCTGTTTCTGAGCTTCTAGCTCTTGCAAACTGCTTGTTTCCCGGTCTAAATCATTTTGTAATTCCTAGGAAGAGTCACATCACATTACTTGAGACGGATGAGAATGGGGAATATCCCGGTAACAGGGTCTCAGCCTGGGCTGGAGCCCCCAGGACGTCCTACAAAACCGCCTGTGCCCCCAGTCTGCACTTGGCAGGCATCCGGTGCACACCTGCTGTAAATGCGTGCATCCTGGCTTGGCAGCTGTGGATTGAGCTCTCACTAAGCGTCCCGGCAAATACTTACTGACGGCCTAAGAGAGGCCAGGGGCCAGGAGAGTGGCTGGGTCCCAGCAAGAAGAGCTGTCCAGTGACATGTGATCAGGGGTGGAGAGAGGAGAGGCATCACCCAAACATAAATAAACTGGGAGGAATGGAACCAACAGAATGCATGAGTGCTGTTGGGTGGACTTGGGAGCACGGGGAGACCGGACTGATGCTGCACAGATGGAGGGGAGCCCCACGGAAGCACTACTTAGGGTGGACCCGAAGGACAAGCAGGCAGCAGCCACGTGAAGAGCTAGGAGGAAAGGAGCCCAGCAGGTGGGGGGACAGCAGGGGGCCCAAGGTGGGGAAGGGGGGGTTGGGCTCCAACTTGAGCCAAAGGAAGCAGGGCCACACCAATGAGACTGCACATGCTTCTGGGGCAGGACATTCAAGTATGGGCTTGGGACACGACGCTTCTCCACTGCTAACGCTCCTCCAAATTGGCAGTATCTATCAAGATGACCTAGCAGGGACCCTCAGACCCGACTACGACACCTCTAGGAGAAGCATCTTAGAGGTGTACGACACATGTGACCACATGTAGTGTGTGAGCGCAAAACCTGTAAACAATGTAAATTTCCACCAGGCGGGCCTGGCTAACAACTGCGGGGTACAGTCTTACCCTAAGAGAAGCTGCACCTCATACTCTGAGTTACAATGTGAAGCAAACAAGGCACATGGCAGAGCACATGTGTACTTCGCATTCTGGCATTCGTGCAAACAGGAAGGAGAGAATATGCACAAATCTCTCTCCTTAAACATGCACGTGACCTTCCTGGAAGGCCTCATGGGAGCCAATGAACTGCATCTCTGAGCGGGTGAAGGGGAGGGCAGGAAGCTTCACGCCTTTTGATTTTCAACCAGGCAAATATCTTATCAAATGTCTTTTAACTAAAGCTAGAATCACGGATGGGTGCGGCAGAGGAGATGGAGGCCTGGGAGGGCTGACGAAGGGAGCAGGGAGGGGACCCAGAACTAGGTGAGACGGTGGCCATGGGAACCAAAGTAAGGGAAAGATTTGAGGGGACCTTGAGGGTACAGGAAGACAGGGACGGTGAGGCCGATCCCCAGGGCTGGCCTGGGCTATGGGTTGCTGGCGCCATTTTAGGAAAAAATCCAAAGCAGTCACAACGTCTCCTCTCTGCCTTGAGGATAAAAATGTCATGACTCTTTCCTCTCTGGATAGCTCCCCAGGCTCCCTGCCCCTGACCTTTAATTCAGGAAGCAGATCCTCAGTCTGACAAGTTTGGGGAAGAGAAGAGACTGGTGGTAGGGAGTCTAGGACATGGGTCTGCCACATCTAAGGGAAGAACAGTGATGGAGAAGGAGGAGATGAAGCAGGGAGGAGGGTCAGGCCCAGTGTGGTAGCCTGGGACACCAGGTGGCCAAGAGTCTGGGACATCAAGGAATCTGAGCCTCATTCTATAAAGAAGAAAGAGGAATCGAAGAGCCCCACGGGGACAAAGACCCACCAGCTCATGGGTAGGATGGGAGCTGGGTCAGAATGGGGGAAGTGTCTAAGCAAAGAGAACAAAGAAATAACCCAGACAACCTACAAACTCAGTTCAAACCCCCCCGGAATCCCCTGCTGGCTTCTGTGCAGAAACTGACAAGCTGATACCAAAATTCATTAAGGAAATGCAAGGGACTCGGAATAGCCAAAACAATCTTGAAAAAGAAGAAACAAAGTGGCAGGACTCATATTTTTCAATTTCAAAATTTACAACAGACATACCTCAGATACATGGTGGGTTTGGTTCCAAATCACTGCAATAAGCAAATATTGCGATAAAGCAAGTCAAATGAATTTTTTAGTTTCCCAGTGCATATAAAAGTATGTTTATACTATACTGCAATCTATTAAGTATACAATAGCATTATGTCTAAAAATAAATGTACACCTTAAATAAAATAATACTTTATTGCTAAAAATTGCTAACCACCATCTGAGCTTTCAGTGAGTCATAGTCTCTGATCACAGATCACCGTAACATATATAACAAAAACGAAAAAGTTTGAAAGATTGCAAAAACACCAAAATGGGACACAGAGACACAAAGTGAGCAAATGCTACTGGGAAAATGGTTCTGATAAATTTGCTTGACACAAGGTTGCCACAAACCTTCAATTTGTAAAACATAAACAAAAAACCACACAGTATCCGCAAAGCACAATCAAGTGAAGCACAATAAAATGAGGTATGCCTCTAAGAAGCTACAGTCATCAAGACAGTGTGGTACTGACATAAAGAGAAATGCAGGTAGATCAATGGGATAGAATTCAGAGTCCAGACATAAAGCCACACATCGATGGCCAAGTGATATCCAACAGGGGTGCCAAGACCATTCAGTGGAGAAAGAACAGTTTCTTCAACAAATGGTGCTGGGACAACTGGATCTCCACATGCAAAAGAATGAAGTCAGACCCTTACCTCACACCATATGCAAAAATTACTGAAAGCAGATCAAAGATCTAAATGTAAGAGCTAAAACGATAAAATCTTAGAAGAAAACATGGGGTAAATCTTTGTGACCCTGAATTAGGCAATGAGTTCTTAGATATGACACCAAAGGCAAGAGCAGGAAAAAAAAAAAAAAAGGAACAGACTGGACTTCACCAAAATTTAAAACCTTTATGCTTCAAAGGACACCATTAAGAAAGTAAAGACAACCCACAATATTTGCAAATCACGTATCTGATGAAGAACTTATATCTAGAAACTATCAAGAACTCTTACAACTCAGCTATTGAAAGACAACCCAATTTAAAAATGGTCAAAGGGTCCGAATAGACATTTCTCCAAAGAAGATACACAAATGGCCAATGAGCACATGAAAAGATGCTCAACATCATTAGGGTAAGTGTTAGGGGCAATGAGGTACCACTCCACACCCACTAGGAAGGCTAAAATAAAAAATGGGAAATAAGTGTTGGCGAGGATATGGAGAAACATGCATTATAGGCTGGAATGTAAAATGGCGCAGCCACATTGGAAAACAGGCCGGCAGTTCCTCAAAAGAGTTACCATATGATCCAGCCATTCCACTCCTAGGTAACAGACCCAACAGAAGTGAAATCGTATGTCCATGTGACTTCCACATGAACGTTCATAGTGACGTCATTTGCAATAGCTAAAAAGTCAAAGAACCCAAATATCCATCAACGGATGAACAGACGAACAAAATGTGGTCCAGCCACACTGAAGGGTCTCACTCAGCCATAAAAACGAATGACACACTGACACACGCTGGTTCATCATTCACGATGTGGATGAACCTTGAAAACACGAGGTGGAGTAAAAGAAGCCAGACACAGAGGTCACACCGTGTATGAATCCATTACCACGCAATGTCCAGGTCAGGTAAATCCGGAGACAGGAAGCAGATCAGTGGTTGCCAGGGGCTGGGGCGGGGAACGGGGACTGCTAATGGGGACGGGGCTTCCTTTCGGAGTGAGGAAAGTGCTGACGAACTGACAGTGGTGATGGTTGTACAACCCTGAGCACACACTAAACACCACGGAATGATACACTTTAAATGGATGGATTGTGTGTATGTGAGTTCTAGCTCAGTAATGCTGTTGTCACAAAAACAAAATAAAACGAAAAACCAGGCAAAGATGCTGCAGGTGCTCACCAGAACGACAGCGATGGAAATGGAGGTGAGAGACCCCCAGGGAGGACGAGGAAGGGGCACCCTGGAAACAGGCCCGGGGGAGCTGAAGCTGAAGCTTCCGCTGCCTAAAACCAAACATAAATGGACCTGAGGACAAAGGACTCATACTCCACACGGGGCCCTGACCCGCAGACTGTGCTAGTAGGTGTGGCAAGCGATCTCCTGGCCAGATCCACGTGGGGAAAGGTGGCAGGAACCAAAGCCAAACCTGGTTTTCACAGGGGAACTTTCAAAAAATACACTGTTCTGTCTAGGACCAAAAGCTGCCATCAAGCACTACAGCAGAGCCCCGGCCTGGCCTGCTTACAAATGAGGCCCCACGGAACAGGGGCCAGTCTGGCTGGCGTTGGGCTCCCTCCCAGCTCTCGGGGGGCTGTTGGGGCACACAAGGACCCCAGCACCTGAAAGGCTGCAGGTATGTGCCCGTCAGAGCCCACCAGCCGGGGCTCTAGGTGGCTTGGCTGCACCTGCCACAGACCAGAGGGGACGGTACCTTCAGATGTCAGAACAAGTCACTGCAAAGACCTGACATCTTCCTCAGCATCGCCCAGAGCAGGCACCAGAGACCCGATGACTGGTTTCCTGGGCAGTTAAAGGCCGTCATAGCACCCAGATCCTCAGGGACCAGAATGAAAACCAAATCATGTCCACGGCAACCCAGACACAATAGGAAGGGAGAACCGGCCACACGTCCGTGTCGCTGGCTAGGCCCAACCCAGGCACGAGGGACGAGGAGGCCAGCTCCACCACACCACAGGACTAAAAGGATGGAGGCTGAGGGGATGCAGCGGATAGAGGGGTGGGAGTGGGCTCTGTGTCTGAGGGATCAACTCTAGGACATGGGTGGAAATCAGAGGCCTGAGAGAGAATAAAATGACAGGAAGAAAGTACTGTGGGGGCTTTCAGAGAAATACAGTGACTTCGCCTGCAAGGTGGTCTTATAGCTGAAGCAGCTCATTTGAGCAAAAAAGCCCTTCCTGTCAGAGGCAGGCCAGTCCCTGCTTTCCATCCCGAAACATTCCAGGAGACCATCTACAGCCCAGTCCTCACTGCTAACACGCACGGAGAGTGAGAAGCCAGGAAAGGAAAGAAGGGTCTGGACACTGCACGGCGTGAACTGGTGAGTGTCCCGAAGCAGCGAGGGCACATCCACCCCACCTCACCTGCAGACCACAGCCACGACAGATGGCCCTTCCCACAGATCAGCGGGACGTGCCATCCTCCTAGTCTCTCAGAATCCGCCAGTCCCCTTGTGGGTGGCGCAGGGGAGGGCCGCCCAGCACCTCGAGAGCCCGATGCTACTTACTTGCCCTGGCTCAGGTCCACACCCTCAGAGGTGGCCCAGAAAGAACCGGCCACTGTCGCGGCACACACGGCTGCTCTTGGCTCTGTGAGCAGCCCACTCACAGACCCTCGGTGCCAGGTGGGGAGATGGAAGCTAGGAGGCCGAGCCACTGGTCCGGGTCACTCAGGTGAGGCCTGGTGGAGCTGGAGTCCTGACCACTTGGCCGTGCTCCTCTCCCCCGCCCAGCTCTGAGCTCAGAACACTCAAAGTCCTCAAGCAGAGACCACCAGTCCCAGCGGCACTTCTAGCACTCACTCTCAGGGTGCCACAGCCACCTCAGACCCGAGACATCGTGGGAACCCACGTGCCTTCACCGGTGCAGCTGCCCGGGGCTGACTGCTTTGCCCTGGTGCAGACTCCCCTCTGCTCAAATGATGAGGAGAGCAGGGAGGGCCCTGAGTGAGTGCTGAGCATATATGCCAGACCCCATTCTCCAGCCCCACAACTCAGGAAAGCAGAACAGTCCTTACTGATGTCATACAAGACCCAGAGATGTTAAGTAACTTGCCCAAGGTCACACAGCTAAGGAGAACTGGGTTCGAGCGGAGCAGTCAGACTCCCAGTCTCCGCATCACCACCACCTGCTAGGAGACACTCCAGGAAGCAGGACTATCCTGAGAACAGGTTAGCAGCCACTGACTGAACCTCAAACACTGAGACGTGAATGGAAAAAGCCAGACACAAAAGGTCTCACATCTAACGTCCAGAACAGGCATATCCATAGAGACAGAAAGCAGATTAGTAGTTGCCAGGGGCTGGGGGAGGGGCAATGGGGGGTGGTGAGGGCTAATGGTCATGGGGTTTCTTTTTGGGGTGATGAAAATGTTCTGGAACTAGATGGAGGAGATAGCTAAAGAACATACTGAATATGCTAAAAACCACTGAATTGTATGCTCTAAAGGAGCAAATTTTATGTGATGTGAATTATAGAGCTCAACTGAAAAAAAAAGCAAGAAAAAACCCCCAGTCTATGGTTACACGAAACTTAAAAGCCTCACCTGGAAGCCCCCCAGAAGCCTGTGCTTCCAGGAAGGGCAGGGCTAGCTTTCCTTCACCCCACCCCCAATGACAGGCGCAGCTGGCGCTGCGCAGGGCACAGCTCATCTGCCCAGGGCGAGCACTGTGCTTACCTGTACTTCGTTGCTTTTCTGTCTGATTGCCTCTTCCTTTTCTCTAATGTCTTGCTCCAGGGAGTACTTCTCTCTGGGCATTGAAAAAGATTTCAGGAAAGCACAGATGAGTGATAGCATGCCTACAGCCATGGTGTAGTTTCTCGGCAAAGAGCTTTCTCGGCCCTTCTGCTCAGTGTCCTCCCCCAGAATTAACAGGTGAGAGGTGGCTGCTTTGAAGAGGATCCCAGGGACATATAGGAAATGGATGCACTTCTTTCTGCCGGATTCTAAGAGTGCAGACACCCCATCCAAAGCCCTTGTTTATGGGTGGGGAAACTGAGGCAGAAGGCACAGACAGGAGCCAGAGACCTGTACACGAAGCCTCTCTCAGCTGTCGGTCCTAAGCCGTTAACTTGCCACCTGAGACTCAGCCGGTTTATGTGCTGAGGGAGAGCAAGGCCTTCCTGAGGTCAGGGGGCAGGGCCTGGGGCTGCCTAGCAACAACCTGCCCAAGACCCTACAGTCCCCACTGACTACTGCGGACGTCATCACTCGAGCTCATTAAGTCAATTCAGGAACTCAGGGAAATGTGCAGCCCTTCACTTCTGCTGTACGGACTTGTGATGGTCAACTTGCCGCATGTCTCACAAGTCTCCAGTACTTGTGGTAATAAGCTGGGATAGGGGCTGGTGTAAGATTCAGATTCTCAGGGGAATGAGCTTTAACACACCTTTGTAACTGGGCGATCTCTTGACTGATATCATCAAGTTCTTTCACACCAGTAAATTCCCCTGATCCGAGAGAACTTGAACCGTCCTGGAACCAAATTCAAATACAGAATTAAGAACTGTCAAGCTGAGGGGCCCCTGGGAGGCTCAGTCGGTTAAGCGTCTGACTTGATTTTGGCTCAGGTCATGATCTTGGGGTTGTGAGATTGACCTCAACGTCGGGCTCCATGCTGGGCATGGAGCCTGCTTAAGATTCTCTTTCTCCCTCTCCCTCTGCCCCTCCCCTCCCTTAAAAAAAAAAAAAAAACTGACAAATTGAGGGGCGCTTGGCTGGCTCAATTGGTGGAGTATGTGACTCTGGATCTCGGGGTTGTGAGTTCAAGTCCCACACTGGATGTAGAGATTAGTTAAAAATAAAATCTTAAAAAAAATTTGACAAGCTGACCTCAAGGCCCAGCAGGTACTAGTAGGTCCTAGTATAAGGAATATAGTCATGGTATCTCCAATTCACAGTAACAAAAGGGCCAGCACCGTGCCTGGAAAACTATCCCAGTGGCCCAGACACACCCCCTAGACCCACCCTTGGGCCCCTGGTGAGGGCTGGGGCCAGATTAAGGTAGGTAAGGACAGCAGGGCACTGGACGGCTCATGCGGGCCACTGCCGCCACCTGGTGGCAGGCTGCGGGAAACCACACGAACAAGACCAGGTGTGGTCAGCAGTACTCACCGGGATAGGAGTGCCTCTCTCTGAGGGCGGGACCATGTCCGGTGACAGGACTTGAGGGGGGTCGATGCCTTTACTGACCTTCTGCTGAATGAAGTACATAGCTAATGCAAACTGGTCTTTACTTAACTTCCCTGTTTGCCTCGTATCAGCCAGGGCCCTGGGAGAAATGTGCAGATGCTAATTACACATCGAAGAAGCAAGAATTCAGCCCTGCATGCTAAGTACAAATCACAGAACCCTTTAAAGAAATGACCAGCGACAATACAAACAATGGGGCACAGCGGCAACTCCTTTTCTACTGAACATCCCGTTCCCGGACAGCAGTCCCGACACCCCCCACCCAAGCACCCTGCCCAAAGACTGGCTGGAGAACCACCAAACCCCACGCCACAGGCCGAGGTGGCGGGCCTTTGGGAAGACCTCAGCAGCAACTACCAGAAATGGCACCGGCTCTTCACGGCGTGCGCGCGGGGGACTGCGATGGTCCAGTACAGAGCAGCCGTTCTGGTGGACATGAAGCGGGGCCCGAGCGTGCCCCCTCGGGTCTCTAGCCAGCCCCTGCAGCCCGGGTTATCTGAGCAGCCTGAGCTGCTGGCTTTCAACGGGGGTGACAGCAGCAGCATTCTGGGTTGTCGGCCTGAGGCAATGGGGCCCGGAAAGCCACGCCTGACCATGCTGCACAGGGCAGTCCCTCACAGCTGAGGTGTCCCTGCTCCCGTGGCCTTCTGGCAGCCTGGCAGGCGGGCAAGGCAGCGCGTAAGCCAGCGGCACATGGAGCTCCCGCAAAGCCTGGGGGAGAAGCTCTGCGACCAGCCCAGTAACCAAGGAGCTGGCCCTTACGGGAAGGAAAGCCTCACGCAGTGGAACAAGGCCTCCACATCTGCAAAATGTCTCACCCCGGCCACTCAACAGGCGGCCTCGCTTCCCACTGCGCGTAGTGACTGCAGAGCAATGACACTACCCTCTAACACGGAGCAGAGGAGAGCCGACAATGGTGAACAGACTCGGGCCCAAAGAGCCAACGAACGGGGCCATGGGGCGTTGGGGGGGTGCATAAAGACCCCACTGAATGTTGCTGATAAAGGCTGATCTAAAAACATCTTCATTCTTGTTGCAGTCTGAGGGTGAGGTGTGCTGATTCTGCCTGCCAGGGCCGGTCCTGCTGCACACCCAGCCCACAGCTGCTCCTGGGCCCGAGGCCTCATCTCTTGGGCCCTCTCCTGCTCCCCACCTCTGAAGGAGCGTGGCCTCCGAGGCCCGCATGCGGGGTGCTTGGCCAGCCCCGACCCGTGGCAGCACGGCATTCTGGCTCCAGGGCTATGCCCCCGAGCCCTCCGGCCGCAGCTGCTCCCAGCCAGCCCTCTGGGCGTGTTATCTGCGCTTCAGGGATTCCGCACCGCCCCCCCCACCCCGCTTCCCCGGCCACCTGCAGATAAACCCAAACCGTTGTTACTCTTCTAGAGCATGCTCATCCTGCCTTTTCCCTTATACACAACGCTTTCTGCGTTCCTCCTTTAATCCAAGCATACTGGTGATTTCACTGTCACTTCCCTGTCGCTGCACCACTTGCAGGTTGAGGTACTGTCCCTGTGCTTTGATCGGGGCGCGGCATCGCTACCTTTGAATCACACGCACATCCCACTTCAAGGTGATAAAGGGGGCACTGGAGCTGAAGGGGCGGAGAATGACTGTCCCTGACCTGTCAGAAGCAGCTGGTCTCCCCCAGCTGTTTGGTGACTGACTGGGTGTCACACACACCTGAAGAGACAGCCTGTTTTCTCAGGTTGAGGCCTCCTCTCACAGCGTGGACATCTATGAATTATTACCAAGGACAGTTATTTCCCCAAGCTACTCAGTGACGTGCTAAATTTCACTGCTCTTCTTTGGAAGGGTTCACCTCTCCAGAATTATACGGAAATTCTCTCTTTGTGACTCCCAAGTGAAGCCTCCTAAGCCCTGATGACAAAGTTAGAAAGTGACCTTCACCACTGGTCAGCTGCAAAAGAAGCCATCCCAGCGCTGTGAAGACTGCTCTGGTCCACCCTGAAGGAAAGTAGGGGTGAGGCCGGCTCCCTGACCGGCCCTGAGGTGCGGACCAGAGTCTCGTTGACTGCTCACCCTCCTGATGGGAGCCGAGTCGAGTCACTGACCTTCACAGGCCTCCTGGGGAGGTGGCCGCAGCCCCCACTGCCCAGGGCGGCTCTACCCGAGCTGCTGGAGACATACCGCACACTCCCCTCACAGGGGCAGGGCCAAGCGTCCGCACCGCGACTGGCTGTGGCAAAGGCTGGGCGTCCCGCTACAACCAGCATAACCACCAGCAAGAACTCGCCCCAGTCACTCAAGCAAATCGCCCCAGAGCTGTGAGAGGGACTAAACGGGTGGAGAGTGAGCTGCCGTGCCCAGGATACAGAAGGGCCTTCGCACTCCTACCCCACTCAAGCTCCCGTCCACCCCGGCAGGAGGCCTGCTGCAGGGCTGGAGAGACGCCCCTGACCGCCATGCCCTGATGGACACCTGCCCCTCCTTCACCACAAGCCTCACTTCCTCGGGGCCCCTCAGAGCCGCCCACAGCCATGACCTCCACACAGAAGGCCAGGACGAGTCGATGTCCAGCTACCCGTCCTTACCATATGTGTGCTAGAAGGTTCTGGGTGAGGCCCGAGTGCATGAAGATCTCCTTCACCTCCTGGCCGCTCACATAGCCATCCAGGTCCAGGTCGGTCTTCAGGAATATCTCGTCAAATCGCATCTTATCCGCAACCGGCACCACCCAGCTCACGGTTGGCTGAAACGGGTTTCAAAATGGTTGGTCTCTAGCTTCTCATCACCATAAACAGGTGCTATTAAAGCGCTTCCACGCCCTCCTGACGAGAGAACTATTAAGGCGCTTCTCCACGCATGTGGGTAGCACGACTCCAAGAACCCAGAGGGCACACAGGAGCCCCATTCTGTAAGTGGGGAAACTGAGGCTGACAGCAGCAGACACCACTCAGTCAGCCTCTCCCACCCCATCGCAGCACCCCCTCCTCCTTGTATTTAGAGGGGGGGAAAGACCCAGCAGGTCTGAAGGGGCTTGAAGGGAAGCCAATGAATTCTCCTTCCAGGAGGGGGTCCAAATGTGCCAGGCAAGACCCTCCTGACAGCCCACGTTAGAAGGACGGTCTCCTGAGCACCAACCAGCCCCGCTCTGACGCCAGCCTTCCTGGTCCTCTCGTCTTCTGCCTGCAAACACTTCTCTGCAGCTGCCACAGGAGTTCCCGTGCCCACGGCTCGGGATTCTGTACTCCGTCCTTCGACCCTGACTCCATTCCCCGTGACACAGCAGCGTCCCCATGAGGTGTCAGCGCACAGCAGACACTGACAGGGACTGAATGAGGCGGATGTGAAAATGGTGTCTGCTGGATGGACAGGCACCCAGGGCCCTCTGGTGCTGGCAGGGGAGCCCAGGCCCCAGATGAGCATGCTGTCACCTGCAAGGATCCCACCACCCTCGAGGGCACTGCCCCGGCAGATGCAGTGCAGAGTATCTGCGAGCCCCGGGTAGTGCCATTTCGGCAGCGACAGGGCTTGGCCACCTGCTGCATGTGTGACCCCTCCCGTTGCCTGCTCAGGTCTACATAAGAGGGGTCCACCAGGGCCTATGTACCTCCTATTTCAGGGACATCAGAGGCCCCTTCAGCTGCTAATTCTGGACATGTCACCTCTGACCTTTGGCATATTCATTGAACCAAGTTCCACGGCGCCTCTGCCCCTTCTCCTAGAGACGTTTTTCCTCATCCGCTCTTTCTGAACAGGTCTCCCTCGCTATCCAAATCCAGCGTGATCCTGACGCGAGCACTGGGAATCCAGAACGCAAGGGGGGGAAGCAAGGGACACCATGTTACCCGGATCATTTCAGTTCCAGGATTCTGGATAGGGAGAATGAGTTAGTCCAGCAAGGATTTATCAGAACTTGTGGACCGAATTCAAAGAGCAAGGGCTCAGGCAGCAGGAATTCAGATAACGAGAGAGACCTGCACTTTACCTGCCCTGTTATGTGAATTTTGTGAGCCACCTCAGAGTAGACATAAAGACGCACGTAAAGGATCTCTAACAAAGAAGAGGCTTGCTGTCTTTACGTCCAGTGGCTGGGGTAAGCTCAAGCTCAGATGCCAAGAAACCCAAGGAGGAAGTAACAGCAGATCAGACAAGCTAAGCTGAGGGAGAAAACGGTTTCTGTGCTCCACAAGTCCCAAGACATTACAACTCTGGGATGACAAAAATCCTAACATTCAATGTGCACACAAAATGAGCTTGCTGCCTGATTTCTGGGGTGTCAGAGTATGTCGACAGCAACACTCCGAATCCAACTTGGCTACAAATCCAACAGGGAACAGCCTTCTCCTTGGAGCTGGGTCTCCCAGAAAGGGCTGGGTTTAAGGCTGGCTTAGCAGCCACAGGCCCCCACTAAATAGCAATAGACCCTGGTGGCTGGAAGGGGCTGCGCCCCACAGCTGGCTGTGAAGACAGGACCTGGCAGCCCTAGGCTGGTGGTAAGAGAAGTGGTGGAGGGGATGGCATGGTGACTGTGGGTCCCCAGAACTGCTCGCTCTCATGTCTGTGACTCCACCAGCTGCCCCCATCCTTGGGGAAAGGAACGCACCCTCGTCTTCCCACCCCCACCCAGATAGAGGTCCCTGGTAAAACAGGTCTAGTTGCAACCAGCAGCGCGCTCCCAGGGTCTGGGGAGAGCCACCAGATCACCATGGACAGGGTTTACAAGGCTGGTCAACCTGCACTGCCGCAACCTTGGCCCCACTTGCTTCCGTGTCAGTAAAAGCTGTCACCACTAACCTAACCTACAGTACTTAGTAAGAACTCTCAGAAAGAATTTTGCAGACACAGGTGCTGGCTGTTTTGGGAAAGAGCTCGTGCAGGTCTAAGTTACCAGCCTTGGCCCCCTCTCTGACTTCATTCCACCCTTCTTCCCGTTTCTAGAGGTTCCCACTTGATAGCCTTGGCACAAGCTAGTCCTCTGATGGCTTTTTTTTTTTAAAGATTTTATTTATTTATTTGAGAG